TGCAAGCAGCGGGTACGACACAGTCGTATGCACAGCAATGATGCGTAGCCACACCACCGAGAAGCAAGAGCCCACAAAATCGCAGGCACAGGCACAGCAGCTCCTGCACCCCGAGCTTGTCGGGTCGGCGGCCGGCCATGTGACGCATTGACATACTCGCAACTCACACGGCAACTGCAATCAAAATCAAGCTAACCTTCAAGCCTGCGAAGACGCGAATCAACCAGGAGGTGACGCTCATCGAAATCAGGTACCGGAATACACAGACGACCTCTTGCTCGAGGATGTCCAAAGGATGAACAGTCGGACCAACCCGAGGCGACAGTAACAATAGACTCCTTGGTGTCACGGCTGAGCTGATCCACCGTGCGGTGTTGCCGTGCACTGTCCGCCGCCTTCGCCTTCCAGGCGCAAAGCCTGGACGTGCGACTCCTCAACACGCGTGAATGCACTGAAACCTGAGCGCGGGCCTCACGAAGATCGATCACAGTGCCACGACAAGGGGCCAAGCTGCACAAGATCACGGCGAAAGGCCCGCCACAAGTGCTCACAGCATCCGCGGCATCGCCTGCGAAAGATGTCGCTACGCAGACGCCTGAGACGTCGAAGGTCCAGAGGCTCACTCAGTGTCGAGGCTTGAGGTAACGACGAGCTGACGAATCGTCCCTCAGGTCGGCAGATCGTTTGGCTTTCGTCCGAGTGCCCGGCAAACTCCTGACAAGATCCTCCAGGGGGGCTCCGATGCTTCCTCTTTTTAGCGTACAAGGTGGCTTGAGCAGTTCGTGCTAACAACATCCCAGGGGCACTAGCTTTACGACGTCGCATTTCGTGGGTTTCCTGCCCTGCCTACTGCATGTGGTGGGTCGTCGCTGTCGTTTCACGAGCTTTTCGACGACGGATCCCCGCACGCACGAGGCAAAACCCTTCCGGCATAAGTGATGCAAGTATTCTTCGGGCAACCCACCTTTCTTCCGTTTCTGCCCCTGTTCTCAATGAACCAGCGATAGTACTGTTTACTCGGAGTCTGTACCTAAATACGTATCTCAACAGAACAACCGTTCTCATCGAACGGCTCACACCTTGTCAACACTGCCCAGCGCAAGGCCTAAGGTCTCGTTAACGTTATCACCATGGCTCACAAAGGATGTAGCTACTGTCCCACTTGTAAATCGTAAGCTTTGCGGGGCTCACGGCGAATCACTACCCGTAACCTCAAGCCTCCACCGGCTGAGCAAAGATCTACGAAAACATGGTGTGTTCACACCGCTTGCAATCAACATGCTCGGGTTACACTCATGAGCTACGGCCTGAATTTCAACGGGGTTCCAAGTCTCTGCGCGGCGGGTGCACCCTTATCTGGCGCTGCATGGTTGATTGAGTGCTTGCCTGTCGCGCCTGCTGCAGCAGGTTGTTACGACCTCTCAATCGTAATCGACTGAGTCACAAGCTGGAGGCGTCCGCGCAGGTAAAAGACGAAATGCAAGACCTTCGGCTGCATCAGTTGGTCTCACATGGCAGTGGTAAGGGGTCGGTCGCGTCGCGCACACACACAACATAAATAACACACACACACACACCGCGTAGATGCCGTAGATCCACTCCCTTACCTCCTGCTACTCCACACGCACAGTCTTTGCAACAGGCTTCTAAGCTCCATCCGTGCACCGCTGGGTTGAAAGGGCCTTCCTTCTGGTCAGCAAAAGGGTGCGGACCGAGGTCACCGGCTGCACATTTTGATTATCATTCGGTTGGTCGTCGCCATCGCCCTTTGCCCCTGGAGTCTGCATTAAGCCAGGTAACTCCAGAGCTCGGGTGGCTCCTTACGGAATCACGGCCTTGTTGCAAGCATCGTCCTTGACAGAATTTGCCGACTGTGCCCAACTGCCGACCGCACGTCCTTTACCTCCTCGCCTTCGGACTAGCAGCTGTGCTCGCAGAGCTCCAGGCCGCCGTTAATCACAAAGAAGTTGGTCGGGGCCTGCTTCTGCCGCTGTCCCTTAAGTGACGGTCTTGAAACGCTTCACGGCAGTTTTTGGGTCTGCTTGGCACGATGGTGGAACGACATCCCTGGGCAACTCGGTGCGGCTTGCCCGTCTTGGCCGGATCCTTGATTCTGCATAATCGTTGCTGCCGCCTCGGCGAGAGCGGGGTCCTCCGTGAGGTTATAGTCCTGGAGCATCACATCCAGGAGGCCGCCCGCCGTGCCTCCCCAGGCTGGTTCGTCATCGCACAAGGTCTCGTCCTCATAATCCTCGCCGTTGGGCCTTGTCCGTCTCCACTGCCGAAGCCTGCTGCTTGCCCTCGGCCTTGGACTTCGAGGCGAATGGCTTCGGCCTCGTCTTGGCAGCCAAGAGGCGTGCCTCACCTCGCCACGCGGCGTCCTGTGCCGCTGGGTGCTGAGGAGCTCCTTTTGATCCAAATCCTCTTGGTCCAAACCCCGAAAAGCCAGGCATCATGGCACGGATGTGCTGTAGAATCACCGTGAAAGAACTTTCTCAAGATGCGTAACGTCTTCTCTCCGGATTAAATAACTGCTACATGATCTCAATCGCCTCCGAGCACTTGAGCTGTAGAAGGCGATGAAGAAAGGATTGCATCGCCAAGCTTTCCTGCCAAGAAAACTCCAAGCACCAAAGTGCCCTCGCGAGTGCGGACACGTAAAGCAGTTGTTGCCGGTGGCACTAACGCGAACCTAGCAAGAATGTTGGGCTCAAAAGCTCAACACGCCGTGCTGTCAGGACAGATCACCGGACCACGTCGGCTCCGTCTACTATCGAAATGCCCGCAGTGGCATGCGAACACAACGGCAGTTACTGTTTCTCGCTAAAGGGCGCCCTGTCATGGAGCCGTATGGCCGCAGCTTGTCACAACATGAACTTCGAAGCTCGATGTTCATCATGAAAACTGGGCTGTAGCAAAATCGCTGTTGTAGCTTTGTCGCCTCTTTCCTCCCTTGGCGGAGAATGCGCTCACAATGGCGGTCACCAGCTGACGTCGGGGACTTTAGACACCTTCGTCAGAATGGACAGCCCCTTGGCTTTTGCATATCCTATTCACTACACAATGCCCCCATCTATTCCCACGTCTTTCACGCCGCGAACTGCTCCTCACGGCGCGGCCCGTCAATTCAATCCGCATGTCTCTTTACCCGAAACCGCTAGATTGAACTAATTAGACTGCTAGGCTACAGCCAGAAGTCGACCTTGCAAAGATATTATACGAGATGGATGGAACTCAATACAAATTTCTTCGCGTCTCAAGAGCGAATTCCCTGCGCCAGACGGACAGGAGATGTTGCAATGCATGATGTCTCGATCTCCCATCATGTGCCACAACCGATGCGCCGATGACTCCGACGATCACGATCCGTGTCATCACGACGAACAAGACCATGTCAATGCTGAGCTTCTTGTGTCCGCACAGGCAGTGGAGAAGAAATGAAAGGAACAGAGAATGAACGAGTCTGGCGCAAACAAATCACTAGTCAGATAGGGACACATTTAACGTCCGGTGCCGAGGTTGCAGAACCGCAGCAAATTATCTGCTGCGGGTTTGCAGTGTTTGTGTCTCTCTAGAGTTGGGGTTTTGCCGCTCCGGACTCTGCTTGCGGCTTTGGCTTTGGCCACTGTCAATTCCGCTTTGGGTAGGTTTGCCGCCCAAGTCTTCCTTCGCGACCCCCTTCTACCTTAGAACTGCAAATGCTTTGGGTCTCTGACGATTAACCAAAGGTGCACCCTTCAGCACAGTGGAATTCCGAGCTTGTTGAGACTCTTTGCACGCAGACACAAGAAAGAGGAACTACTGGTGAGACGAATCATGGCTGTTCGCATCGAATGCTCCAAGAATGCGGATAACATCCCAGACCTCCCCCATGACAGCTTCACACGGGGATGCTGTTTTTGGGCTTTCTACGGCAATGTCAGAAGGGCTTGGCTGCACAGCCTCATTACTTAAGACTTCCAAAACCATCCAAAACCCGCATGTAGAAATCGAGTTTCAGCATGGTCGTATGTAGATTTGGGGGGACACGGAGGTTGCCAATAGTGAACTGTCGACTTCACAAAGCTGAGCAACGACAACGTTCAAACCCACTCACAGCCTTAATGAGCCTCTAGAACAGCCTGAGCTGAACTGAGCTCACCTGAGCTCTGAACCCGAAGTTCAAGCCCAATCCCAATCCCGTCCCGAACTTTTGGGAACAACCAGCCCCTGAAGCCCTTCGCATATCATTACACTACCCCAATCTTTCTTCTTAGGGTCAGACTGACAATGGCTATTCTTTCGTCAATTTTCGGTGGAGCCTTAGTAAGCGGCCTCATGGTTGCCTAGATCACGCTTGGTTCCCATCGAACGTGTGCCTAGAGGCAACTCCAAAATCAGATGACTGACTTGGACATCTTCTCGTGGCAGCACTGCACTTGTCGAGGTGTTACGACAGTTCAATCAAAAGCTTATGATGTCAGCTTCATGGGGCTCTTGCGAACGGCCATGCAGGAGCCGCTGTACATACTTTGGGCGCCACGTCCCCAAGGGGATCCAAAGACCTCTAGCGCCGTCTCCCCTGCGTGTTGCTCATAGAATCTAGACGTCGGCCCTGCAAATGGCTTCGCCGCTCCGACCTTGCAACGGAAGTGAAATAACGGAGTGTGGTAGCTTGGGCGCGCATGTGTCTGTGTCTTTGTCTGTCTTTGTGTCGGTGAGTCGGTGTCTGTGTCTGCGTCTGTGTGTCTTGTGTGTGCACGGATAATTATGTGTGTGTGTGTGTGTGTGTCTGTTTACTTGTTTGTGCGGTTGTTGGGCCGGCTCCTCGCTTAGGTGGTTGTTGGAGGGGTTGACAAGTTGGCTCGTCAGTAGCTTGGTTGATTCAGGAAAGGTACTGTATGGTACTGTACAGTGTTCATTCTCAGAGGAGCAGATCCAGTTTGGAACTGTTGTTCATGATTGTCTGTGCCCACAATAAATTCACCAGTAATTCATGACTATACTTCTGGAGGGTGGTGTTAGAGCTGCAGCCGGGAAGCTATGCCGTTCTCCTCGAGGGCAGCCCTCGCCAACGTAGCTGTCGAACTGCTGAGCACTTCTGCATTTCGAACTACCTGCCATCGCATCAATCAACTGGCTCCCAGTCCAACTGCTCGATAAAATTACTCGCTTCTTTCCGAAACCGACCCTTTCTTCCAACCGCACCCTTTCTGCGAAACCGCATAATCCCTCTTCTGAACCCCTAGACCCTGCACTCAGAACCGGTAAGCCGTGTCGGCCCGTGCTGCAGTCGTGTCACAACCTTCAGATCTTTGCAAAAGCCGATTCCAACAATCCCGAAACTTTGCAATACATAGATCAAACTGCGCCGCAACGCCGAATTTGGTAGTGTCAAACGGCCTCGTCAAACCTTGTCAACCGAGCTCTCGGACTGCAAGCCGCAAGCCGACCTCCAACAACCTTCCGCTTGCCCGGCCAGGCCCTCCAAGAGAGTGTGGCAGATGTGCACAGCCCTGCTTCGAGCAGCCACCCCTAGGACCAGACTGGACCTTTCCATCATTCTTTCTCGCAGCGCCAACGGTCAGACTTGACAAGATGAGAGAGAGAGAGAGAGAAAAAAAAAAAAGAAAAAACAAGGTTTCTCTCACACTTGATACAGTAGCCCGAAAGGCACTCAAAAATTCACAACATCTCTCCACCACCTTATCACCCCCCTGCGTGCCTCGTATGCGATTGCTGCAATGGTGTCTGCAGCCACGGTTTCCGCTTCAGTTGCTGCTTGCCAGGCCTGATGGAGTCTGCCGGAGAACTCAGGCGCAGGCGGCGCAGGCTGTGATTTCCACTCCAAGCCTTCGTCAGCTGGTCCGTCTCGGCGGTCCCTGTCTCACTCTCTGCAGAAGGACCCGTCGAGGGACGCCTGCAAACACGGGCTGTCGAAGGGCTGTCACTCGGAATGTTTCTGACGCGCAGGGCGGGATCCTTCGAAGGCGCTCCATGAGGCCGCAGCCACGACAAAGAGGGACGCTGCCCAGCTTGATCCGCGCGGCGGCCTGCGTTTCAGAGCCGAATGCCCTAGCAGCTTGCAGGGAAGTGTGTCGAGGGATTCGGGTTCCGATGATCCGAACTCACTGCCTTGCCATGCCTTGCCACCGTGCACATTATTGCACATTGACTAAACACAACAACGCAAATGGGAAGCACGAATCCAAAAGCTCATGCAATGTCTCGGTGCAAATGCCCAGAAGGTCAAAGGTCGCGAAAAAAAGACGCCCTCAATGACAATTGCAAGAAGTATCGCAAAGACAAGACACAGAAAAGTCACGAATGGAGACGGCAACATGACTGCCACTGCATCTCACGATCAGATGTTGTCTGCGTCCACGGGAACGAGGGCTCAACACAGCAGACTTTTCTCCGCATCACTTCATTGCATTGTGAAGACTTGGAGAGGCTTTGGAGGATTGGGTCTGCGATGGAACAAGCTGGGGCTGGGGGAGCTCTCGCGTAGGGACCGCTGAGCTAGGCAGTGAATTACCGGGCCCTCCAACACAGACGCCTGAGCTCAGACGCTCGTTTCCTTTGCATTTCGGATCGCTTCTGATGCCAACAAGCCCTGCAAGAAAAAAACTGATGCAAAGCCCACGAAACTAACAACACAAGCAAAGGCAACTGTTGCTTGTTGTCAAGGCTCAGCTGGATCCGACGCGAAATCTCGCTTTGCAAGTCACGGATGCAGATCTTTCAAGCTTTATTCACGCTTGGAGGTGATTTGATTTTAGACGCGGATGCTGGCTTCCTTTCTTCTGGCCCGACTGCTACTACAAGTAGTAGGTATGGCTCTTTGGGTTGCACATCCCGTTTACAACTTGTAGGTCGGTGGAGATTCCTGCGTTTCGTCTGTGCTTTGTGTTCCACAGCATGTGGTCATGCTTGGGAATTCTATGGCCTGCGGTCAAGTTGGGCACAGAACTAGGTTCATATCATGGGGAAAGCTTCCTGTGACAGACATTGCTAAACCAGAAGCACCGACTTCGGCTCGGAAGCGTGCCTTCCGTAGCTCGAGCTCCCGAGCTCCCGCCAAGGTGCGCTTCAGCTCCTCGTAGAGCCGCTCCTGCACACGGCTACGCGACGGACGCGCTTTAAGCGACGGAGCTGCAAGAGTGGCCCGTGTTCTTTGCTCAAAGTGGTGCTCCCGCTCCTGCACGGACATCCCACCTTCTCTGGTCAGGAGATCCTTGGACACAGCCTCGGCATGTTCTTCTGCGAGAACAGCTAAGAGAGCTTGCTGCAGCTGCGATGTGAGATCCACACATCCTCGAAAAGCTCACAGCTGCGGCACCACCGACGCAATCGCTGGTCCATGGTCTCCCTCGAACCACTGCTCGTGGAGGAAGGTCTCGACGAGAGACCCAGGAACGAGCCTGAGCCCTCCTTGCGGCCGCCGCAGACCAGGACCGCAAGTGCCTTTGCCACGGCGGCGCGGGCGGCGTCGCCGGTGCCGGGTGCCTTCAAGAGGCCCGCGCGCCAGAGGTCTCCCAACAAAGGCATCGCGGCCACGGCGTCCTCCATCGACCAGAAACCGCTGCGGAGCATGCTCACGCACCTCCCAGAGACCGCAGTCGCCAGCGCTGTAAACGCCATCCGATGCGTCGAAACACGCCCGGATATCTGGAGAGCAACACGATGCAAATTCTCCTCGGCAGAATGTTGTTTCAAGCTTGCGCTGCTAGAAACCACCGGTGGCGAGACTCCGAAATCACATGAATGCATTTGCACCACATCTGCATTTGTTGTTTGCATGTTTCTGAACTGCATCTGGGGCTCCAGTGTGCAGCACTCTTCCAACGGAGCCTGGGACTGCTTCAAGCATCGGGCAAATTGGCGGTGAGGTTGCTGCGGATTAAGCTGCTTCCAAGGTTCCGCAAAAGTAGAAGAAAGTTGACCAACCAGCTGCGAGTGCGGACCACCAAGTCGCCTGAGGTTCGCTTCGCAGATGCACGTGACATGATCTGATTCGCAGAAGGCTTTCACAAAAAGACGCCATCCGGGTCACGATTTCGCTTTCGCTGGTGTGGACGATCTGCTACCGCCCACCTTCACTTTGTGCGCTTTGACGACCGCTGCTTGCATCTCTAAAGTATGCCTCCTGTCAAGGCCATGCTAAGCTTTCAATTGAGACCAGCGGAAGGCCTGTAAAGCAGGAGCGGAACCGGAGATGCATAGCTGCCTGCACGAGACACATGCTAACAAATACATTTCGTTGGCACTTGGCTCGGTCACCACGTGTAGACCCAGCCTGTTCAATCCGAAATCTATGTCCGGACGAAGTCTGCGTTGCATTCAACCAATTGTCGCCTGGACGCCCGAACCTGTGCATCGACACTTGAACCAAAAAGCCGCAACAGTAGCCGGCATTGACCTGTAATCGGAAACTGGTCCGCAAGGCAGCCATCAATGCATCACGAGCATTCTGATTGGGATATGATGTGTGCCGGAATCTTCATAAAAAAATTGAAAACATGTGGGAACCTACGGCTCGACTGAGCTTACCGGCTTACCGAAAAAGTTGGGCCAAAACTGATAATCAAAAGAACATGTGTCGATTGATGTGGCTTGCATGCTCTTGCAATGGAATCTGCGGATGCTGGAACGTTTTTTGGTGAAAGAACAGGGACAACAATGCTGCGCCACTCGCTGGACAACTCTACGTACAAGGTAAGATGTACGTTAGTATGACGTACGCACACCTACAGCCAAGAGATGGATTGCGCAAGGAGATACCAGGACGCATGGCCCGAGCCATGGATACTTGGCTGGCATACAATCCTGATTGAACTTCGCAAAGCATGCAATGCATGCTGCATCAAACTGCGGTGAGAACGCGCACAAGTTCACCCGGTCACCACGGCACCACAAGTGGGGCGATAACCTCCTGTGTTGACTGTCGTCCAGAAAAAGAGACGCCCTGGGCAAAACACGGCATGTATGACCACCTAAGGCACTCGGACGTAAGTTTTGTTTTTGATTCCCTTGTCGAACGTCCGGAGGTCTGCGAGACAGAGCTCGGGCGGAAACATGATGAACACCTGATTCCTTTTTGGCGGTCGGATCAGCCACAAAAAACAAACACAGGTGACAAGCAGACAGCGGACGTCAGCGCTGGTGCGGAAATCAAGCAGGCAAGAAAATGCCAGACCGGCCGTCGCATGAACCACGTCACCAGCAGGTGGAGAACGGGAGCCGACGGTTGCAAACGGCCAGTTGCTGTTGCGGCCGAAACCAAACACACCTGATCTGGCTCAGTAGTGCTTGGTCGGACTAGTCGGGCTAATCCATTGCCGTAGAAGGAAACCCAGAATACCAAAGCACCCGGACAGAAGCTTTCGTCTTCGATTCACGAAAGGCCGAGGGATCAACAAAAATCAAAAGTTTAGGTCAGGATCAAAAACCAATCAAGATAAGTAAGGATCAAAACATCAAAAACTGCTAGTGCCTGGAGAGTTTAACGAGTATAGTTATTCAAGATTACTGTACCTATTTTCGGATCAAAACATAATCAGATAGGGACGAAGAAAATCTAACAGGGAAACGCGGTGCCAGGGGTAGACTTCTTGGGGTCGCAGCAGTACGGGCAGTAGAAATGTGCTTCACCCACAGTGGCGACTCTTGTTCATCATAAAACTGAATCTCGCCCCCTCATGTGACGATTTCAGATCATCATACATCATATGCCTTAAACGCACCCCTTATTTGGCGTTTCCGGTTCATCATACATCTTAAACACGCTCCCTCATTGTCCTCATTTGGCGATTCCGGTTCACCAAAAATCTTACTTCAACGAGCCCCCTCTCTTGGCGATTCCTGGTCATCATGTATCTTGCGATTCCGCCTCTCGCTTGGCGCTTCCGCTTCGGCATAAATCAAAAGAATGTGACGACTCCGTGTATATCCTGTAGCTGTAACGCGCCCCCTCATTTGGCGACTCCGGTTCGTCGCATATCTTAAACACGCCCCTCATGTGGCCCTTCCGGTTCATCCCCCCTCATTTGGCGATTCAAACTCTTCATGTGGCGACGCTGGTTCATCATACATCTCAAACACTCCCCTCATTTGGCAACTCCGGTAAGCCCCTTCACTTGCCGATTGCGGTTCATCATACACCTTACTCCGGTTCATCACAGACCTTAAGCAGGCCCCCTCCTTTGGCTACCTCGGTTCATCATATATCTTAGAATCTTAAACATACCCCCTCATGTGGCAACTCCGGTTCGTCCGACGTCCTCGTCCTATATCCTAAACAAGGCCCCTCCTTCCTCCCTTCCTTGTTTTCTGTGAAAGAGAAGGACCAGCTTGCGAGTGTCCACAGGATGTAAATATTTTTTTACGGCATTTCAAAGTGTTGTTTGATCCTGCTTTGAAACTTTGCTTTTTGTTGCTGCCTGTCCCGCCACGAAAACGACTAGCGAAACAGAAATACATCTAGTGTGAAACGCCGACAACGGACGTCAGACTGGCTGTCACATGAACCACATCACCGGTAGGTGGAGAACTGGGGCCGATGGCTGCAGACTGTCCGTTGTTGTTGCGGCCGAAACCAAACACGCTTGATCTAGCTCAGGAACGCTCGGTACTTCAAAAGAAACCCTGAAGACTTGTGCAAAGCGCTCGGACAGAAATTCTCCTTACAGAATGGGCTACTGCACAATAGAACCATGAAAGGTAACCGGAGACGGGGAAAACCGAGGTTCCGGGCGAGCAGACAGTACATTAGAGAGCCGTCCACACCGAAGTTCCGGTCAGACAAACCGCCAATATGGACGGAGACGCGAAAGCACTCCTGGACACGGTGTTCAACACAACGACTGATAGAAGTGGGTGAACCCGAAAATCCTAGAAACTAAGAAACCCACTGAAATTCGCATTTTTGCTGTCGACCAAGGAGCGGAACTAGCAAGCTCTGCGTTGCTTGGCTGCGCCACTTCGCGGCGGCCGTGCGCAGAGCCTCGCACAAAGGCAGAGCAATGTAAAGGACACCGTTTTTCCCTCGAGGAACATCACCAGCGTCAGAACTGCGCTAAGAGGCACACCGGAGGCGAAACACACGTCCTCCATTTGCTTGAGCATAGAACGGTCGCAGAACAAACAACCCGAAATCAAGCACTGACAAGCTATCAAGGTGAACTCTGGCAGAAAGATCGGGAGAGTCCCTCTCATATTGCAGAGGTGGTCTCTGGGTCTGCTGTGCTGAGGGCATGTCACACTGTACAGGACTCCTGCAAAGAAACCATTGGAAGTCTTTGCTGGAAATGAGGAAGACACCTCCTCAACAGGCCGCAAAGGCCGATTCACAAGTTTTGTCCCAATCTCGTCCAGCTGGAGACAGCAGCTGAATTCATCATCCCGCCGGCGCGGCTGAGGCCTGGATGCCGCCGCTAAACGATGTCGCATATTGTCGCGGTGCATACATGTCTAAGCTGGCGACAAAGAAAGGAGCCACCCTGCCACAAGGTGAAAAAAGAAACAACTTGAAACGCATCAGTTCGATTGCCGATGCCTGCCATGAAGCTCAAGATCAACATCCTGCAAGCGAGGGTACGCAAATGTTCAACTGCGGCGAAAATTTTACGGTTTGCCTCGGCACGCCGACGACGTTCACGATCTACGAGTTGCTTTCCGTCTCCCAGCCTCGGTCTTCTTTCGGAGCAGCTGAGAGGCTTTGTTCAGAGATTCTATGAAAGTGAGTCCATCAAAACTCTCCGACTGCTCACCGACACTGATATGCCGGCGCTGGAGCTCCCCTGTTAGGGTCTCCGCCAACAGAAGCGGCTCTAGCTGCGAAGCGACGGGACAATCACATACCGGGCAGCGCACGGGTCGTCGCCATCAGCTCCAGCACCGAGATCGAAACTGCGGAAGCCACCCATCACAATCGATGACCCACATCGTGACGGCCCAGATCCCGCTCAGAAACGGACTCCATGATACCGAGAGTCAGGAACTGCAAGAAGCGTGAATACACCTCGGTCTCTTGATGTCTCTTGTCAGCCTTGGTCATTATCACATTTCAACGCAAGGCCCGATCGTTGAAGACGTTGCAGCAGCAGAGAAGCACGATGAGACAAGGAAACACCTGAGGAGTTTGCAGGGCCAACCAACGCGAGAAGGCAGGCTGAAACTCTCACAGGTGTCACCTGGTTGAAAGACTCGCCCAGCACAGGCACCATGTTCATCTGACCCATGAATGCCTGCGCATAAGCCGACAGAAGCCGGTGAACATCAAGTGTCGTGGTCTTCGACGTGCCCGGCTCCTGGAAAGTGGTACCCTTGACGCGAATCAACAGAAGGAAGTGGTAGCAAAGGGGTGCCTTCTGTAACGCAGAAGCCGGACAGAGAGCTGCTCTAAGGGCTACTCCCGACTCCCTCTCCGACTCTCCGGGACTCGGACTGCCAAGCGGGCAAGGATCGACGCGCACCTGAGAGAGCTGCGAGACTCTCCGATGAAAGGGAGATGAGATGTGAGGAGAAGAAAAGACGAAAAACGCTGAAAATCTTCTAACGACACAGATCGACCTAACAACCCGGAACCACTGCATCTGCATGAGAAGCTCCGGAAAGGGCGTTCAGAAATTCCAGGCGGTACTGACATGAAGCTCTGCGCCGGAAGCAGCCTTTTCGCAAGCAGTGGTTGGATCGCAACATTCCTGTGGTTATTGCCACCTCCAGTGGTGCGATGTTTACATTGTCGTAGACATGCACTCTTGGAGATAACTGTGGCAGCAATAGTGCTCACAACACAGACAAGGCTCTTCATATTCTTCATGTTTCATGAAATAGTGATGCATGGACTGGGAGTTGATGTGGTCGAGTTGGATCCTGTGCCACTGAAACTGGAGTAACTGGAGTGTCTTGGTGCACTCCCACGCACCGGACATGTCTCTGCTACATGCGAATCATGAAGCTCTATCCGACCAGCATGGCCTTTCACATTGGGGACACTCCGGTGATAGAAGCTGCCAGTGGGAAAATGACCTCTAAAACTGTACAAGCATTCTGCGGCAGCCTGCTCTGCTTCTTCCGTGTTCAACAGCACTTTTCGTCTGTAGCAGCTCTTTGACAGAGAACCGTCGAAAGCAGAGTTCAAAATGCCGGCCGCTTGCTAGAAACAGCAAGCTCGGAGCTTCGGCAAAATTTCGCTGCGATGCCGTGAGAAGCTTCTTGTGCGGGATTCGGGCTAGCCATGTGAGAGAATCGTCTGTCGGGCTCACCATGCTCTTTCGGAGATTGCTCGAAAGCCCTTCCTTCTCGAATCGGATCTTCCTCCAACGACCATCAAAAGCCATGTGTCCCACATGATTGCAGCATATAACCAATGAAGCTGGGTTCACAACACATATTTTCAAAAAGGAAGCATCCACACCAGCAGGCATGACCTCTTCAATTGCAAATGTTGAGGCCCAACTGTACCCCGAAACATGCGAGCATACACTTGAGTCAGTTGAGCAACTACATTGCATTCAGACCTTGAGCTGCTCATCCTGCTTTCTGATCTCGTTGCCTGAAACCATCATGCTTGTTCCTCCAGCATGTCTCAGGACCATAACCTTTTCGAGATGGCACCCACGTGCTTTCCAGCGGAGTACAAATTCATACACGGCACTGACAGAAGCATTTCGCACACGAAGCACATACGTTACGTACGGTAAAGTCGACAATCATAGCGGCTTGAAGCAGCCAAGATGGGATAGTTGTAACGTGGGAACCGAGAGAACTGCTTTCAAAATAAAAGTGTAGGACTCGCATTCCCAGTCAACATCGAAAAATCCAACTGCATATGTACACTGTAAACTTGCGGAACGCACATAGGCCAAGAAACAACCCATCAGCAACAACGACAGGACTGGACATGAATCGTCACAACTCGACGGCACGCGTTGTGAGTCTTCATGGTCCGTGATTCTCACACCGGGCTCTGCACACAAAACGGCCCGAGGGCAAGCTACATGTTCAGTGGCTGCCACGCCACCCTTTGCTTCAATGAGGACGCATTGCGCTCAGCACAAAGTGAATCAAGGCCTCTCCGGATTTGGTGCCTGACGGGCTTGCTGAAACACAATGCGAAATGGCTCTGACTGCACCTGGCGTCATTTCTGCCATGACAGTCGGAGAACCACTGAGAAGGTTAGATTATTTTCGAGGCACGACTGAACAAGTTCGCATCCACAAACAGCCGATGGCCTATGAGAGAGCACTACAGACAGCTGCATCAAACGAACCCGAGTTCAAATTTGGTCAAGTTCAGTCACACCCCCAGCCGCAGACAACACAGCTGTCAGGCCGCGCAACTGTTCTCGCGAAAATCTGTATAAACTCGGGAATGTGACAAGCTCTGCAAAGTTTCTTCGCAGCATACACAGGTTCTAAATAGCGAACTCCTCAACCTCGGACACACTGATTCGGCTCTATATCAATTGTGCTCCAGGCAGTGGCGGTCTCTCTAGAACCCGTGCTTCAGAATCAGTAAAGCCTCAGCCTTCAAACAGCTTTAGGCAACATGCTGCTGAGTTGGTCAGCTAAGCTGAAAGTGAAACGAGGAATACAGCAAAAGGGCCTGAACAACAAGAGAGTACATCTGGTCAAACAAAGTTCAAGTTTACCAAGGCCATGGCTAGTACTCCTGGCTCCTCCGCGGCGAGAGCAAGTGTGCGTCTCAAAAACACGAACTGACCGTGAATGTTCCCAACAAGCATCGAAAACATCAGGCCGGGCAAGCAAACCTCGCCCGAAGCAGTCGCCTACGGTAGTTGTCCAGCAAACCCGTGCAAGATCGAGCGAGGGATGTCCTGACTGATGTTGCCGGATCAGAGATGAGTGCAGCGAAGATGTTACATAGATTGGATGTTGTCACGCCGTCATCATGACAGCTACAACAAAGAAGGACAATCAGCAAAGATTAATATAATTCCACTGGACCACTGCGGTAACTGACGAGCTCCATGGCTCGAGAATGTCTCATCAGACGGCCTGCGCTGTTGCATCAGGGTCCCCCAAGCAAAGCGGAAGCTGAGACCTGCCTGAACGACGAACGGACTCTGGATTTGGAAGTTTGCGGGTGGCACCCCACAATGCTCCTGGCCGGAAGAGCTTGCCAGGGAAGCGCGGCGAATCACTGCAATCGTAGTCTCCTTGCAGAAGTCCCTGACCCTTTCGCAAAACGCCTGCAGAAGAACACCTCCTGCAACAAGGCTGCAATTGAAAATCAAACTAAGTCGCTGAGAGCACTTCATGCTTTGCAGAATGCGCCTCCATGCCTCTCCTCAACTGGCGCCTTTCCACACAAAGCTTGCGCCTGGAAGGACCAAGCGTCTGCCATGAGAGCATGAGGCAAGATGCCGATCAAGACACCGGACTCGCGGTGCAAACGAATGTGGCATGCCCACACTCACGTACGCGCGAACAACGTATTGCTGGGATCTGGAACTTCGCAGTTGTGGACGAATCTCTTAGGCTGCCAACACGCTGAATTCTCCCAGCTGGTCAGACTGCCTACACTGCACACACCAACCATCCCCAGTGCATTCATCTTTTCGAAGCCTGTGGGTGAGGCTGGCTTGCGACTTGAAGAAACCCAATAGCTGGGCATTGTTGGCTGGAACGCCCCGAACCCCAGTGGGAATGCCGCAACGAGAAACCGCCATCTCAACAAAAGGCACTCTGTAGATCTTAATCCAAACAACATGTTGCAACGTTGAAGTCTCACCTTAAAGGGAGTGATTCTCAACAACAAGTGCCACACCATAATCGTAAATCCACGAAACAGTGTGATGGCCGGCTGACCCGTCAACCCAGAAAGTAGGAGTAGCCTGGCCGAAACACATGACCAGTAAAGCCTGACACAAACAGAAAACAGCACACTCTTGCAAAACCCCAGACCCTAATCGGCACGGCCATGAAGAGGACAATGGCTGGCACGCAAATAAGTCCTGATCCATATCCTGTTGACAAATCTGCAAGAATCACTGCACCGTCTTCTTTGCTAACGTAGACACGAGCACAGCAATTTGGCTGCAGCATGGTAGACTCGACGAAGCATGTAGCAAGGGTTTCTGCTTTATCCAGTTTCAGTTGGCCAGCGGAGTATACCGAGGGCTACCACTGCCATACGGTGTTCACCAGACCGCCTGTGTCACGAAACAACAGTACAGAGGCAGTAAACGAAGGCCGAGCGTAGTTGTGGACGTTGTGGATGCTGTGTATATACAGTGTGTGTATATTCACATATATATATATATATATGTAAATATCTCTCTCTCTCTCTCTCTGCGCTTTGCTCAAAGGCGTGGGAGACAGGAAGGCCCATCTCTCTCTCTCTCTCTCCCTCTCGTCTCTTTATTTTCCACGTAGGGAGAAAGGGGTTTGTGTCCAGACCCCCTTCCCTGTGCGCGCACGCACACCTGTGGTCCTTGGCAGGGCTTCCCAACGCCGCCGTTCGCAGCGAAGGGCTCGGCTGGACAAAAGTTCAAGGAAAAGAGGGTAAGTCATCGAGTTTCCCCCACAAGTAAAACAGCATAAAATCCCCTCCCCCCGCAACAAGCAACTCGATGACCCTTGCTTGCACACAGCCAAGGAAGGGACAGCATCCCTCACCGCGAAATCCCCCCGGTTTGAAAGAGGCGCTGGCTGGATCCGTATAATCCCCCTGCCCTGAACTGAATACTAGAAAACCCCCCGCCTCGCGCCTCTTCCGTAGTTTACCGGCTGGGGCCGTTTCACACTCAAAAGTGCCGTTCGGCTCTGTTCGCCCCCGGTCACAAGTGTGAAGCATCCTGCTGCTACGAGCCTTCTGCCCCCCTTTCCGCACGGAACACAACGCTGCAGTCAACGGAGGCCCGGACCCTGTTTTCTTCCGCCGGGCATGAGTCTCAGGTACCCGGGGGATCATACAATGCTTTCATAAGTACTTACAAATAAGCAAAGTTTATGAACTCTATTGAACAATATGATCTACCGGGGATAAACCAACTACGAAAACACTCTCACACTCCTCCAAAGTCCCCACAAAATATGGGGGGGACCCTAGTGGCCGAGGGGTCTCAACAGCCGGACCCTCTCTCTCTCTCTCTTTTTCTCTCTCCCTCTCACCAATTCGGGCCTCAAACACCAGCAGCAGCGGCCCCAATACCCGTAATTTGCCATGACCCCACTGCCCACTGCGACTCAGAAAAGCAAGAGCAATCGAGATTGCGTTCGACACCGAAAGACGGCAAAGGCGCAAACCCTTTCCCTGTTCTAGTTGGACTGGTGGATCGCTTGGGCCCTTTTCGTCGGCACGTCCATGGCGTGCATCTCTCGCAGTTGCACAATCACGCAAGTTAAGTGGTCATGCATACCCAGCCTTTCTGCAAACGCAGCCCCAACTGGTTGGCGAACATAGGCACAGAGTTCGATGAAGCGGTTTACTACTTCCTCCACGCGGACTCGAGCTTTCCGCTCGGCGGCGCAAGCAAATGCTTCGATTTGGCGGCGAACATCCCCGGAGAGGACTTCGCGGCTCTGTGAACGCTGTTAAACCGTGAGCCCCATGTGCGAGCGCTCTGGGGGCCCTCGGGATGCTGGTTTGCCTTCGTGGGCTAGAGCTGACACTGCCAGGCTTAAGATTGCCATCAGAAGTCAGGACGGTCCCCGTGTCCCCATGCAGCACGTGCCTATATTATTGCAACGTGTTGATGAAGGTTCTGTTCGTCTTGGATGAGCCCCGGTACATCCGCAACGCGATTTGTGCGCCAGAGCTCAGGAGGTGATCTCTCGGTATACTGGTTTGACCTCATAGGCCAATACAACGGGCAACGACTCCTGAACGGGAATCGTTGCATCTCCATGCAAAATGCTGGCATGTTGACTGATTCCTCAGCATACCTGTCCGTGTATATGCTGTCACTGTACATGGTAATGTGTGTTGGAGCGGACATGGAGACTTGTGTCTTGCTGTTTGCCTCCCCCGGTGTCCGGTGGAGTGCTTCTACATGAGAGGCGCTCGGGCCGGCCAGACAGCCTTTAGCCCTGGAAGTGGCTGATGATGGCTGATGGTTCCATCTGGTGGTCCCTTGTTATAGTTACCTCTCATGTCAGATTTCTGCACCACGTTTGGACTGTGAACACACTCTGTCCCCAGCAGCACCTCTCTGGCAGCTGCGATAGGAAATACGTCACCACTTTCGGGGAGTCTTGCGATGCTGCATTCAGCAATGGATCTGGGACTCAGCGCCTCTGCCTATGTTGCACGTGAATGGCTGAGGGCATCGTGGGGAGCATCGGCTTCAGACGACGCACAGACCGGAACGGACCACTGAAGCCTTCCTGAAATTTTGTCATATCTGTCATCAACAAGATGCCTCTTTCTCTATCTTGCGCAGTTGTAGTTCTGCACTGTGCAGCATCAGCCAAAAGTCAGAACAGTCCTTTCAGGATTCGATTCGCACGGGACAGAGCCTTTGCAAAGTGACTGCTGCGGCTCTCCTCCAGCAGGATGCAGAGCCCATCGAGGTGCATGAGAGCCAGCTCAAGGCATTTCCTCGTCACAGCGACGACGTCTCTAAAGCCTTTTAGGACTCGACCCGAGTTCCTTTGCTACTGCCACTGCAGCTGAGTAGCTCTGAGTGTCTCTGCTCTTCTGTTGGATCAATTGCATGTCCGGGTGAAGTTTCTAGGCTTCCGCTTTCATCTGAGCGCATGCCCAAACAGCCACAAGTATGAGCGAATTCAGAACACTTTCATCGACAGGAACTGGCATGAATTGGACAGCCTTCGTGGGGCGCAGGAAGCCAGCTAATTATGACTTCGTCCAGCGTCACCTGCGCACCTGAGATTGCGACAGTACGAACAGGGCTCGCACACCTTCGGACGATGCTTGAAACGTAGCCAAGCCACACTGCCCTAAATATCTCACCTGCAACAGGCTTGGCTACACAGCCACAGTGCAAACGAGCAAACAGGCAGTACGAAAGCCACCTGATTCAGCAACTCGATGTAATTGGTGCGAACCGTCTGGGCATCTTTGCGCATCGTGGCAATGCTGCTGTGCACCTATACACCGGCACGAAGGACACACACCGGACACATGCGTCAGGCTTGGGCCTAGGGACCTAGCATAACCTAGCCCAACTTCATCCAAGACTCTTCGGAGATGGGGCTAACGACATCCTTCTCATCACCATGACCCTTCCTCAAAAAAGCGTGGCCGAAACTATGGATGGCATCTGCTGGAAAGGGTCGCGCCAAGCATGCTGACGAGGCACGCCGCCCACAGCAATGTGGGAAGCAACTCCTCACATGCTCTCATGCCCCGCTGCCGATGGCCCAATGGCCGATTCGCCAAGTCGCAAGGCTGTTGCAGGCTGTAGCAGAAAGCTTCCAAGTTACCATCTGGGCAGCCATGACCAGCTCGTGAGCCTCAACACAACACCGACACCGACAAGCACAGAGCCAAAGCCATTCAAAGCCAACAGCCGTCGTCCTGAGTCTGTGTGATCTGCAGCGCACCAAGCAGACCTTGATCAACCTTACGACCGGGGATTTCAAGGGTCACTACAGCTTTCTCTAAAGTTTGCAAGTCAAAAGCTGCCTGGCTCATGCACTCGCGCACGATGTTCATGGGCTGGTTCAAGGAGTCACTGAAGGCTTTGAGGTCCTTCAGGTTGAGGGCGGCTTCTGTGGTTTGCAGCTCCAAAGCCCAGTGCAGCCCGGCCTTGAGGTAATTTCTGGCTTGAAACTCTCGAAGAGACAGTCTTTGACAGGAGCCCTTAGAGACATATTGAAACATACGGCATACGGCTGCTGACGTGATCCACTCTCTTCCAAATAGATTCTAGGCGGCCGAGTCTGATGACACCACCGATGGGTTGGCAGCGTAGCCAGACCTTGACCTAGGAGCAATTGACGCCAATCTCCGCTGACATCCCCGACGATGCATCAAGAAGGCTCTGAAATGCTCTGAACTGTTGTTCCAGTGGCAGGCCGGTACTGCTCACTCCGATGGAGCGTGCCCCGTTCACTTGTGAGCACCAGTCCCTGAGACCATCATGGCACACATCGGCACAAGCTTCACCAAGGGCGGACAACAATGCAGAAGACGTCTGGCACCTGTCATGGCCACTGGGGCTGCCGGACTTCCTTAGAAACAAATCTTCTTGAAGCGCGTGGAGTCAACGACGTCTCTTTTCCAAGTCCAAGATGCATGTGCCGAAACCTGCGAAAGCAGGGCCCGAGGCCAGCAGCCAAGGCCAGAAAGGCCAGAAGGCCTACTCTGATGACTGGCCGATGGGCCTGGGCCAAACCTCCTGCGGACTCCTGCACACTCCTGAAAACGCTTTTTCCACTGCTCAACACTGGCTCTGAGTGGCCCCCAAGGCGTCGACCACAGCAGACTGCCTGCATCCGTGTTGTGGTTGCCGTACAGACCTGGCGAGAATCCATGTACTGGAGACCACTTCAAACCCAACGCACTTCGCTTCAATTGGAGTCTGAGCGGGCCATACCATCCTGAAACTTTCAAGCGGAAAATACCTCAGCTGCGACCATCGACGCAAGCAATCTGATGATTAGGTCAAGTGGCAGCTCTGGATATGTCTGCATTGCTTCAAGGATCTTCAAGGACAAGTGACACACACACACACCCACACATAGCTGTGCGTGGCTGAAGCCTATGACTTATGAAGGGCTCCGCGACATGTACGATATCTTTACAGCAAGCATGTTGATTTGACATCCTTCATTCGTCTTTCGCTTGCCTCACTCGCAATGCTTTTGATGTTCCTTCCACAAAAAGCAGGCCTCGAACACCATAGCAAAAGCTACCTAGCCGCAGATCCGCATAAATCAGAACATGCATTGTTCCGTGACGAGATCTCCTTCACCAGTGACCAGGCATCTTCAACAAAGACAAGTTGCTGAAGTAGGCAGTGTAGGTCACGTAAGACAACGGGACCAGGCAGAATGCCTCAGAGGCTTTCTGCCTGTCTGCGACATCAGGTTCGGTGGTGGCCTGCGTTACCAACGGTCCATAGTCTCCGCTGAAGAGAAGCGAAAGCCTGGCAACGGTGCGGCAACGGCTGTCGGTACGTTCGGCACACGGTGGCAGGCTGACACGGAGAGGTGCCAGCCGTCCGCAAACAGGGTCATCTGACCCATCACAACCTCAGACTCTCAGAATCGAAGCGCGGCTCACAGCCCCGCGGATTCAGGCGGGCGACGACAGCGCTGAGAAGACAGGAGGCCTCAGCAAAGCTATTCGCCAATCCGCCCGCAAGTCGCTTGCATGGCCGCGATTAGGTTCGGACCCAGCCAAGGCCAAGCAAGGCACGGGCCTAAGCGAAAGAGAACTGGCTCGACTGCAAGGAACCTTCAGCAGGTCATTGGCAAGATGCTCGCAGATGGCGAAGCCAGAAAGTCAGCAAGCTGCGCCGCAGTTTCGCAAACGCCTGCTGTCTCGGCTGCCACATGCTGCCACGTTTTGTCCAAGAAGACACCGAGACCCCTTGCGGCTTTAGCTCAGCAAGAGGCTGAACGAGCTCTTGGAAAATAAGCGGGGAGCGCCAAATGACGCTGACGCCTAGGAGTCATGCTGATGCACTTCAAGGACGTTGGAAAGCAGGAATGGTAAAAGCCAGGGCCTGCACAGACCCAGTAGACTAGCGGCAGCTGTATGATCTCCTTGTTGAAGGTCCTTGCGAGAAGCTATGTTTCAGGTGCAGGGGCCTGCATCGCTTCAGTCCTCGAAGAATATACACCGCTCGACATGGCTGTCAAAGCAGCACGATGCCCGGCGAGCCTTCAATCTCAGAACTCAGAACATCCTTCGCGGCTCCTGCTTTAAAAAAGGAGCGCCCGCCTCCAAGGCCGCCGCTTTGAGCAAGCGATGAAGGTGCGCAAATCGAGAAAGCGACGGCCTGAAGCTGAGATGTACCATCGCAAACTGGGGGATGCATGAACCACATGGACATCATCTATAAGAGATTAGAGCCGAGAGCAGATGCAGGCGATCTAAGGCGGCATCGGTGGATGCAACGGTATGTTGCCAGCCGCACGCTCGAGGTCCCCACGACCTCTTCGAACTTTCAGAGTCATGTTTGCTTACGGACTGCAATGCAGCGGTGCACAGAACACCAAGGCCAAGCCTCCACATGTTTTGTCGCTTCGCGTGCCAAGCACTGGCGAAGAAATACGGCAACCACTCAATTCCCTGTGCAGCATCTCGCACCGGTCTGCCACTTGGCAAAGCTTGGCAAATGCTAGCCGCTGCATGTGTAGACCAGGAGCATCTTCCTCCAACTCCACATGAGCAGCCAATTCGGAGCGAGCTTGCGCAACAGTGTCCTGCAACTCGAAGAGTCGGCTAAGCCGTATCTCGTCCTTCACCACTGCGTTAACGTACAGATCTTGCAAGAGCGTGGAGGGATTCGCCAAGCTCCAGAAGTGGCGTGGCACAGCCACCAACCCAAAGCCCATGAGAACCGTCAGGACGAATAGGCCCCATGCGTTTGATGCCGCGATGCACCAGCTCTGAATGTCTCCCTGCACTTCGCCGCGGATAATGAGGATGATGAGAAGAAGGCAGAGTATTGCGGTGTATGCGACATAGAAAACTGCATTTCGCCGAATTGATGTTTGCAGACGCGTCGCTATAGTGAAGTCTCCAGAAGCTTCGAACTCCATCAAGATAGGACACAAGAAATAGCTCAGCAAGGCTGTCGTCCAGTAGGTGGCAACCTTCGACGGCCCGCTTGAGCATTGGAGCACTGTAGTGTAGCACACACAGAAAGCCAAGAAATAAGAGCCCCACCCAAGTGGACTGCAAGAGGGAATCTTGGGCACCAGTGTCGCCGCCCGTCGCAAGGGCCTGCACAGCCTGCCGAGGCACTGTCGGTTCATGATCAAAGCGGCGGCTGATCGACAGTATTGCTCCGATGAGTGACCATGCCATTCAATACCGCGCACATCTTGTTGCATAGTCCTTTCATCTAGATGGGCTATACGCTACAGTAACCTTCTTCCCGCTGCACTACCACCACCACGAAACACTACCTCTACCACCACTACCACTACTCCCACTACTACCCCTACTACAACTACTACCGCTCCTGCCACCATGGCCACCACTACCGCTACCGCTACCCTACCGCTACCGCTACCCCAACCATCGCTACCACTACCGCTGCCGCTACCGCTACCACTACCACCCCACTACGACTACTACTGCTGCTGCTGCTCCTACTACTACCACTTCTACCACTACCACTACCACTACCACTACCACTACCACTACCACACTACTACTACTACTACTACTACTACTACTACTACTACTACTACTACTACTACTACTACTACTACTACTACTACTACTACTACTACTACTACTACTACTACTACTACTACTACTACTACTACTACTACTACTACTACTACTACTACTACTACTACTACTACTACTACTACTAACTACTACTACTACTACTACTACTACTACTACTACTACTACTACTACTACTACTACTACTACTACTACTACTACTACTACTACTACTACTACTACTACTACTACTACTACTACTACTACTACTACTACTACTACTACTACTACTACTACTACTACTACTACTACTACTACTCCTACTACTACACTACTACTACTACTACTCCTACTCCTACTACTACTACTACTACTACTACTACTACTACTACTACTACTACTACTACTACTACTACTACTACTACTACTACTACTACTACTACTACTACTACTACTACTACTACTACTACTACTACTACTACTACTACTACTACTACTACTACTACTACTACTACTACTACTACTACTACTACTACTACTACTACTACTACTACTACTACTACTACTACTACTACTACTACTACTACTACTAACTACTACTACTACTACTACTACTACTACTACTACGACTACTACGACTACTACTATTACTACTACTACTACTACTACTACTACTACTACTGCTACTACTACTCTGTTGACTTACTCCCCCCCCCCCCCTTTAAGTACAATTTCCGACCTCCAGAATTCAATTATCAACCCCCCTCAATAATGAAACCCGACCTCCCAAACCGAATTTTTTGTTTCGTGATACTATACTACTGTACTACTACTGTACTATCGTAATACTGTACTACTGTACTACTGTAATGTAATACTGTACTACTGTACTATATACGACAACCGACCCCCCTGCCTGGGCCTGAAATCAATCAATTGGGGGGGTCATTAAAATGAAGTGAACATTACTACTACTACCACATGCACAGCCACAACCACAACCCACAACCCACAACTCACAACCCACTACCACTACCACTACTACTGCTGCTGCTACTACTGCTACTACTACTACTACTACTACTACTACTACTACTACTACTGCTATTATGTACGCATCAGCTGTTCAGCAGGCAGTCAGTCAGTTAGTTCGTCAGTCAGTCAGTCAGTCAGTCAGTCAGGCAGCCCAGACATGAGGATTCTGTTCAAGTCTGGCTATCTCACGGTGGCTTTCAAGGAATCATTTTTTGTCCCTAACTAACAACTGCATTCTCGTCGCAGTCTCCCCACTCCTCTCACAGACATACTTGTGGCAGGCTGCAGCGTTCCGTGAATAAATGCGGAGCTGTGCAAGGGGTGGTCGTATGCAGATCGCAGGACTTTACCGAAAAGGAGGAGTTGTCGTTTCAAGAGCATATTGTAGCTGCGGGATAGCTCCACGCAGAACTTCCGCATTGGGCACTCTCGAGATGAAAGCAGGTGGGATGCCGAATATGTTTCACAAGCAACGGTTTTAAGAGCCATGAAGACACCGACGATCGGCGGAAGATAAACACAAGCCCAGGGAACACTTCAGCTTCGACTCAATAAGAGCTTTATAGATTTGAACCTTCCGGTCCCGTGATAATGAAGAATGCTTCCCAAGTTTTTGGAGCTCAAGAAAATCCCGCTTTGCCATCCCGATTCTCCGATCAAGTTCATGCCCTGGTAGCCCATCATGACTGAGAACAGATCCCAAATAGTCGATGCCCAGTTTTGGCCAAATACGCTCACGTGTTGCAGTCCGAGTGATTGCTGCGACCTGAGACAAATAATCCTGCAAATAGGGGTCGGATGTGCCAGGCAACAGTGTATCATCAGCATAAACAATATCGGCCAAATCCCCACGATTGTATGCAAGCAATGCAGCATCACTTAGATTTGGAACAGCATCGTGCATCAGGCCCGTCATGACGATAATAAACAGGAGCGGGCTCAAAGTGCATCCTCGTGAAACCTCCTCGATGTTCAGTTGGATTTGGTGCCTTGATCTTCGACATTAAACCTGCGATGAGGCATCATGTTGTGAATCGTTTGCCGACAACAATCAGGAATACCGAAACGGCACAATACATCAACAAGGCTGTCCAAATTGATACTGTCAAAGAAACCTTTCTTCCAATCGAGGGCCAACACGGGGATTTGACCATTTCGCTGGGCACGAGCTTGTTCGATTTTACAGAACAACGAAAATGGCATCTTCAGTACAATGACCTTCTCGAAATCCAAATTGTGATTTCCAAAGTCTGGTCTGTACACCTGCGTCAAGAAGCGATTGTTTGAGGAGGGTGGCAAACAATTTGCACGCAATACTCTGTAAGCAGATTTGGTCGAATTCTCCATTGAAGTTTTTCTAAGTGCTCAGCCAGCGTCTCTGCCGGCAGTTCAGACGAGACGAACTCCCTGTCCGTGTCTTTCAATCGCCCCTGGTTGGTGATCCGACTCCAGCGGAGCTTTTTAATCGATTTCCTATCCCCGGAAGATGCCAAATCCTCGAGCCGTTGAGAGCGATCCCTTTTGGCTGATCTTTGACCTCCTTCTAAAACCGCTTCTCAACGTTCCCGTTTCCATTTATTCGAGCTTCACGCCTTTGGTTCAAGAGGTCCAGGGTGCGTGAACTGATCCATGGTTTGTTGGCACTGTGCTCTCGACGGGTACGTATTGCAAGAGCGCAGACGCCGCTGAAGAACAAGCACAATCCCAGGAATGGCTCACATCCACAATCGCATGAGAGTTCAGCTTCGAGGAGATATGCTCAGAAAATGTGCGTCGGAGAATACGCTTTTGCAATGCTGACCAATCCATACGCAAACCTTTCTTGCGGACGTGATTGTGAAAATCAACATCAACTTGTAATATGGCTATAACCGGAAAGTGGCCGGAAGCCAATTGGGCTACACGGTCACTGAAAACACTGCGCACCGCGATCACGTCGCGCAACAAGTTCAACATGGTGAATTTTTTGCACAGATAGGTGCGAGAGCTGGGACCCCCGGTTCGCGGTATGTGACTGGCCTGTTGCAAAAAGTGTTCAAAGGGATTTAGTCGGATGTGTAGATTCCCTGCTGGTGTGCTTTTGTTTTCCCACACCGTTGAGGCCCAGTCCCGGGGATTGAATCCAAGTTTAATCTTACACTGGCTTCAGTCCCGAATAAGAAAGGATAAACTCAACTCCCCACTTCCGACATTGCAAAAGATATGATTCAGTCCAGCCAGAAATGTTTGCAAAACGAAGCTGCTTCTTACCCTCAATTCTCAATCGGGCTTTCTTGCAGCCGATATGACTCCGATTGCACCCCACTTCAAATTTGTACGGTGTGCTGGTGGTGATGTGGCGGTTGTCACGACCCCTCTGATGCTCCTTGCGGTAACGCGATCACTACAATAAGAGGTTGTTCTAGTGAGTACCAATGTTGTTTAAGTCACTAACAGTTCGAAATATTGTGAGTTGCTTGATGAACGTGGCTAGCCTCGCCTTGCTCGATTAGTGCTCCTCTTCTGACTGCTCTTCAGTTTATGACGTCCGTGCTCAGCTTGACGACAAATGCGAAATTCTGCACATCTTCATGCCCGAACCAGCACCTATGTGATTCCTGTGAGTTTCTTGAACTCGAGAAAGGTTTCGCCCCTGTGCCGTTCCTCTCTTCATTTGTGATGTTCGTCCTTCCTTCTTATCTTCCTCACTTCCTTGCTCGCTCCTTGCTTCCCTTATCCCGTCCCTACTTGTCCTCCCTCCCTCCCCCGGTCTCCTGCTCATTGCATGCTTCTTTTCTTCCTTCCTGTCTTCCTTCTCTCATGGCATCTTCGTCATCCCTCCCGATCAGCGACTAAGCTGACTAATCACTTCAGCGAAGGATCATCTTGCACGAACCCTGTTCGTCAGCCAAATTACAGATCCTCTGACCAAAAGCAGCCTGCCACACATCGTAGGGCATGACCGCCACCACGCTGATGGCGATCGTGACCCCGGCCTGCAGGCCGATTGCGTCTAGAGTCGGAATTTGTCTGTGCCGGCTAGGGCTGCTGGCCACGCTGGTGAGGAGAGAAAGCCTGACTTATCATATGACACACCGGCAGCGTCGGGCCATTCGTTGAAGCAAGTCGGGGCGACCAACTAGCATCCTTGCAAGCATGTCACGGTTTCGTTGCTCATGCAGCGAGGTCTCTCAAGCACCCTTAGCTCCTTATCTGCGAAGCGGAACAAGACACATGCGACGACGAAGGCAACGAGAACCTGGCAAGAAGCGCCACATAAGCGTCCGAGCACCCTGAAACTGCACAAGATATCCAGGTCGAGAGCGCTGGAGCACAAGGTAGTACCAGCCCGCTCCATGCCCCATGCATGGCTCCGAGAATCACGAACCTAATCTCAACAACAAATGTGATACACGCGAAGAAAGCATTTGCTTGTTGGTTGACGCAAGGCAAGAAGATGCTCGAACAAGCAAGTGCAACAAACAATGATAACACACATGTGTTGTGGCTGGCCAAACATGCATGAGGGTCAAGACCATGGAAAAAAACAACTGAATGCAAGGGACCAAAATCATTCTGCTCGCCCTTTGTTTGAAGATATTCATGTTCTACATGGCCTGTAGTGACTTTGCGAAACGTCTGGGCTTCATTCAACAAGTGTTTGCCTCGTGGAGCACAGAAGCCACTGGCACAATGATGTGCTTACCAAATCTCCATGGCATAATGCAGTGCAGCTGCTTTGGGTTGACGCTGCCTAGTGAGGCCAAGACTTCGCGCCACAGGTCAACAACCTAGTCTCGGCACATGATGTCTCGCTGACAATCCATGCCTCGCCGGAACAAACTAGATTCTCTTGGTCTTGGTTGTAAATGCCTGTGTCTTTGTGATTACAGCCATCCCTGTGTCTTGTGGGCATGTGTTTACAACCCCTAATAGCAGGACAACAGCAAACGGGAAGTTCCTTCAACACTGTCTGATAAAATAACACAGCGAACTAGAGGCGTTTTTGCCGGATTCCTGCTGCGCCTCCGCCATAGGCTACCTCCGGTAGGCAACAATTGCCTAGGAATACTGTTGCTCGGGTTGGCACCCCTGTGGGTACTAAAGTTAGAAGTCGTCCTTCAATAACAACCTTCGGCACCACAGCGTGCACAACACATGCCAGGGCTGTGGTCAAGTCATAAAACAAGATTATGCAAAAAAAAGCCAGCCATGCGTCGGCAATTATGCCACTTGCTATCTGCGCATTGCTTCCACAGCCTCGTGCCTTGGCAAGTCTGCAGTTAGACCTGCTGCAGTTAGACTTGCGCACACGACTCCTAAATGCAGCAGGAATAAGATGCATGGTCCACAAGGGGGGCACGGCCAAGTACATGTTGGTGGTAGAACTTTAAGGCTGTGAAGCTGTGAACGAAATCAACATATGCAAACACGAGGCAGCGCGGAGAGTTCTAACAAGAAAGACCAACACAAGCTTGCTGTGTTTATGTGGTCTTGGCATGTAGCAGCTCCAGAAACTGCGAGGCTCGCCACCATTGAGTTTTGAACCGCTGTGGTCGGCGTCTCTTCTGCTCCATTGCTCGCATCTCGGCCATTGTCGAAATCGACTCCTATGGCTTGGCCATCTGAAGCAATTCCCGCCAGCACTTCTTTGAAGTGCGCTCGTAAACAGGAAACTGCCTGGGAGGAAACGACCAACCTGTTGGTGAAACGTCCATAAATCAAATTCAGCTGGATGCGATGAACTTATCCTTCCACATCCGCGGCCTCGAGACTTGTTCGAGCAGTGTTGTGAAAAGAAGCAATCCCGTTCTCTTTGTTTTTTCCAAAAGGTTACGGAGGGGCCTCATTTCTCTCTGTTGCTGTCTCTGCTCCTCTCTCTCTTTCTCCCGGGCATGAGGGCGGGTCAACGCCCCCGGGCTTCAAGCCCACCCGTACCGTGTTGGAATGGGAGAAGGGGTGAGAATCGAGCGTAACACGTTAACGGGCGGCTAAAGCCATAAACTTTACGATAGCAGAACCATGACGAATGTACGTTCTCCAGTCTTGCTTGCTTGCTGGGCGTTTGGGGAGGGCAATCTCTCTTGTTTGCTTATGTTTGCTTGCCCGGCGTTTAGAGTTTAGGGAATAAGACTACGGCGCCCTCCCACACGCGCATGCGCCACGCCTGGCATCCGAAGTCGGTCTCTCTCTCTTTCTCTACCGGGCTTGGGGAAGCAGGCAGCGTCCGGGCCCCCCTCGTGCGAACACGCACACCCACAGACCTTGGCGGGCATGTTCCCCCCCTTCTGAGGTTTCTCCTCTGAAGGGCTCGGCTGTAAAGGAAGAATCCCCCAGGTGCGAGTCAACTGCAGTTGAAACTAGGAACAAGTGCAAACCACTGGAAGCAACATGCAAAATGTGACACTGTAACACACGCTCACAAGCTGAGGGCCTGGCCAAGGTTACTGCAGAGTATTGGTAACTCCCCAAAGTAAACGAAACCACGATGTGACGAAAACTTCATGTGCTCCCTTTTCGGGTTGGGGTGTTGACCTTGGCAGTGCACGTTGAAACAGCTACTGGTGGTCTGCTATGCTGGAGCTGTATCCCTGTTGAAGCTTGCTTCCCCTCCGAAGGCAATACAGCTGGTACTACAGGAAGTATGCGGATCCCCCCTTTCGAGGAAACTCAATTGTCGCTGTCACGTCGTCTTCTCCCCCTAAAAACACCCGGCTTCCACGCACCCCTTTGGCACGGTTCGACTTCGGATAGCACTAAAAAACATGCAGTGGCACCCTCAGGACCGCCAACGGTTTCTTTCTCGGTCGCCCCGGTGGTGGGCCGGCTACGCAAACCCCCCTCCCCACGAAGCAGTCCACCCCCACGTTGGCAGGGGTTTCCCACTTCGCAGAGACAGGAGCGCGCCCGTGCACGACACTACTCCAAGTCATTTGCCTCTCCGCGTCTGCGCGGCACGTGCTTGCATCGACTTGCAATCACACTTCCTGTGATCTGCTTGGTTTTGGCTTTCTTGACTCAGTCGAGCTCTCAACCAGTTCGGTCACGGTTCTCCACTTTTTTTGCCCCAGCTTGGTCGCGGTTCTCCACTGTTTTCTTCGCCCCAGAGCAGGTGGTGGCGTTGCTTTTGTTGTATGTCCCCCCATGGCGGAGAAGTGTTCACGAGGATGAGCAGGAGCGGGGGCTCACTTGTCTGGCAACGGCTTCGGCATTGGCTCAAGCCCCGGGGGGGGGGGAGGGCGGGTCTTCCATTTCCCGAGACTTGAGCCTCGGTCTCTCTCTCTCTCTCTCGCTCTCTCCTTCTTCCACTCAGCTAGCATCGCGGACCGCTCCAATTCTCGCCTTTCCCCGACTCGCCGGCGGAAGAGGCTTTGGGTCTTCGAAGGCACTAGTTGTTCTCCCTCGTTTGGTGTGACCGCTGGTGTGTGCCCGCCATAAGGACCCGACCCTCCCCGAACTTCAACCCGCATCGCCGCGTCACTGCGCTCACTAAAGCTAGACCCTTAGTCAGCCTTAGTCCTACGCCTACGCCGCCCTGCAAGACCACGAGATCCCATGACAGCCCGACTGGGCTGGGGCTCCTGTCAGGTCCTGTCGCACATCGTGGCGGTTCGCCGGGACATGCTCCTGGCACGCCACGGCATCTAAGGACCAGCGGCGCAAAGTGGGCGGACTACCCCTCCAACGATACGTTCAATGGTGTGTGGTGTCCGTCGTTGTATACTACGCGCGCGTGAGCGGTCCTCAAGAGCTTGAGGATCTCCTCAACGGACAGCTTCAGCTGGGAGTGCCATTGGATGCGAACCACAACGAGTTGGCTAGCAGGGGGACTCGGCGCAGGACTGCATGGGCGCGTTCGACCCTCTCTCTCGCTCTCTCTCTTCTTTCTTTCTGCCAGGCTTAGGGGTCACTGTTGTGACCCTCAGGCCTTCAGCCCTCTCTCTCTATCTCTCTCTCTCTCTCTCTCTCGAGCAATTATAAAACCTCCGGAATGCAATTTCGTCTGTAAATACTCTGAGCATGAGGCAAACTGTACGAATACCTCATCTTCCGGATGACCTTCCAGGCTCCGGCCAAATCCACCACCGCACGGCTTACAGAGATGTTATGTTCCGGTACTCGCTGCCGGTCAAGCTGCCGGGATTTGAGAAGGCAGCTTTCCGCCATCATGAACAGCTCGCTTCCTGCCGGATACTCTTCGGGAAATCTCGGCTCTCCTCGACATGTCTGAGACAATAGCGTTAAATGCTCGTAGACCAGATCGGCATCCTGAATTGAGATTGTTCGTTAAAACGTAACAATTCTTTCTGCCGTTCTCGTCGCTCAGGTCGGCACGCTGCTGTCTTTTTGCTTGCCCTCCATCGCTCGCTTCTGATCCCAGCATTCGATGCCCTGCGCAATGCAAGCAGAGACTCAGGGGGGAACCACAGACACGACAGACACCACAGCCCAACAGCATCCAACGGCAGCAAAAAAGCTCACTCGCAGTTGCCTCGAGGATCCACTTGTGCATGTTGCTATCGAGCCGCTTCTGCAACGCCTGCCAGGCGAGGCTTCATCCAGGAAGCGGAAGCAGACGAAGCACCAAGAAGCCAGGTCAGCATTTAATTTCCAGTCCTGGTGCCGTGCATTCTTCCATCGCATGAAGTTTACTTGCGCATCAAAGACTCGACGATTGGAAGCAGTCCTGCAAAAGTGAGGTAGACAGAGGCAGTTCGTCATTTAATTGACATATGCCGTGCCTGTCGACCAAATTTCTGTAATCTAAAATCTGCAAGCGATCGTCACAGCACGTATTCTTGGTTGTTTGTGCCTGCACTGCACATGCTCCCACAACTTTAGGCCCACGGGTTACTGCAGGTGCACTCATCACAGGGGCAAGTGCACCTCTTCGTCAGCTATACCAGTCGTGCCGGTTCGCTTTCTGGGGTCTCCGCGGGACTCATGGATGGCCTCGAGCATGCGGAAAAAAAATCAATGCATTTGGATCTTTGGCTTGTTCGTCTTGGAAACACAGCGTTCGTCAATACACTTCATGATCATGAACGTCGAGTCGTCCACGAGACCGGACGATCGACGTAGAAACACCATAAGACACAAACCTTTCAAAAGTCTGAAGAACGGACTAAACCAAAGTTCCATGTAGCAGCGCAGACTGATGAATGAACTAGTCTAGGCCCAGGCAAATGCTTCCTGTCCTGAGGAATTGTTCCGCAACATCTTCGTCGACCTGGCGAAGCAATGAAAAAAGGAGACCACCGTCGTATCGATGTACCCACCCACGAAAATTGGGATCGCAGACTACAATGGTCTGACAAGCCACCCTGTCCGACCACCCTACGCCGTTAACGGTCTTCTGAAGGTCGCGTGTAATACAAGTATCAAGCTGATCCGGAAACAGCAAGTGCAGCGTCAGCCATGAGTCCGAAGATGCAAGGCAGCACGATCGAGAGACCGAGCAAAGCACTCGGAGGGTCCAAGTCCCATGCAACGACTACTGGACTGCCTCGAATCATCGAGTTGAAGTTGCGAGAACGGGGACTTCCACAGGGAACACACAGAATCCTGATAGCATCTAGCATCTAGCATCTCACGCTTCCCACTAATACTTGCACCGCAAAGTTCTGCTGATTTGAATGTAGATGCATGATCTCGAATGGAGCTTCCTTGTTGCTGAATTCATATGTCCGAAAAAATGTAAACTATCGGTCCGATAGGGGATGATACTATCCCACAAAGTGTAAAGTGTAACCCACTTAGCTACTACACCAATGACCCCGCTGTGGCTCCAGAGCAATCTTGTACTCAATGCTGCACACGCAAAATGCGAAGACTTGCTGTGACAGGCGTGGTTCAAGATTAAAGTGCCCGCTGGCAGTTTGCGGTGTTTTGTTGCACGAACTAACTGTCCTTTGCAACATTGAAGTCTGAATGGAATTCCGGCAGCGAGCCTCCTTCTTCAACACGTCCGTCAGGTGCGCCACATGCGCATCGACATGCGCTGCAAGCTCCGGCAGCCGATTCTGCAAAAAGGCCTGTCGGAGATGCTCGCATCTTCCGCCGTGCGTCACCCCGGACACCCCGGGTTTGGACCCCGCGGTGCAGTACACAGTCAGCGTACTGGACAACAGGCCGCAATACACAGTCATAGTTTGTAACAGTGTTTTCTCTTTCCCTCTCTTCTTCTGCAGGGCGTGAGGGGCTTCGAAACCCCCCGGGCACATGGCCCCTTCATGTGTTATGCAGCTTTGAGGGAATGTAAAACGATATGTAACTGTTCCCCCTGAGAATGCAATGAGGTATAATGGCCTATGAAAGGTTCAGGGTTCACAGTTCCCTCTTCTTCTGCAGGGCATGAGGGGCTTCCAAACCCCCCGGGCACATGGCCCCCCCATATGTTATGGGGCATTGAGGGAGTGTAACACGATAACTGTTCCCCCTGAAAAGACGATGCAATATATTGGACTATAAAGACCTTCAGGTTTCACAGCTATTTCATGACACAGTTCCCTCTCACCCTCTCTCTCGTTATTCCGTCCTGCTTTCCGTCGGGGCAAGGTCTGCGCACAAACCCTGGCCTAGGCCCCCCATTCCTACCTTCGGGTCATTGGGTGGGTTTGCAGCCTGTGGCGCTTCTGTCAGGAATCCCCCCAAACCCTGAACACCAGAGCGCATCCGGCCTCCTCACTGCGCCCTCTCTCTTTGCTCTGCCCTCTCCCTCTCTCTTCTTCACTCTCTCTTTCTTTCGCCAGGCTAGGGAGGCGAGCCCCCGCCCATGGGGGCCGCCCGCTGTTGGCGGTTGCGCATGGGATTTCATGCGGTAGGCTAGAGTTACGATCACCCCGACTGTGAAGCACAACAGAACACAAGTACGTAGCATGAGCTGGGTCTGCGGGTGTGCATGTAACTCGCGAGTGGCCTAGGGACAGCTGTTCTGCCCCGGTCTGTGTTCCCCGAAGCGGCGGTCGAAACAACAAGCGCTGTGCTCCCTAGGCTTGACACCCTCGTACCTGTCAGTTCCCTTCGTTCGGGGTTGCACAGCGACGGGTCCTACTCGCTAAAGACGGCGTGGCTCACTGTGGGGCCCATTTGTGTGTTGCAGTTGAGTGCATGAGCTACCATAGTTGCCAATACACTACCTCTCTCTTCTTCCGCCGGGCATGAGGGGCTGTTAAGACCCCTCGGCCACTAGGGCCCCCCCATATTTTGTGGGGACTTTGGAGGAGTGTGAAAAGGTTTCGTTGTGGTATATCCCCCTGGTGGATCGTTTTGTAGTCTAGATAAGTGCAAGTGTGCAATACCCGGTCATTTATAATGTCATAGTGTAAAATGCGTTGGTTGGATCCCCCAGGTTTTCGGATTTCAGGACAACGTCAGTTCTACATATTCGGTCTGGGGATGTTGCAAAAACACAAGCAGGACCATCTAGTCAAAGACGACGTGTAATAAAACATCATCATGTCCCCCTTTCGACCGTTGGTAAGGCATGAAGTTTGCTACGGCTGTTGACAATCCCCCATCTGTCGAACAAACACCAAGGACCAATAGAACTACGGTATAAAGGTCTTGGCCAAAGCATCTTCGTGGGGGTATTGTCTGTGGCGTGTGTTTCGCCTGTAACCTCGGGTTGAACGAGTTACCCCAAAATGAAAAAGCCTATACACATAGTTAAGAAGGATCTCCCTCTCCCCGGGTTAGCCGTAAGTCGCTACTGTACAGTGCAGTTTTTTTGTACATGACCAACAACAGCTTGCAGGAACATAATGTAAGAGGGTAGTATAGGCCGAAAGTTGACGTGAACTGCACTCTGCGAGCGAAGGGGTGTTCCACATCCCCATTTCATGGTGCTACGTGTTTTGGTTTTTGAGGACTTTCGGGGCTGGGGTTCGGAAAGGAGTGGAGTTAAGCAACTTAGAACAACAGGACAAAGTCCCCCCAGTCCCCCGAACAGACTCACTACTGCATCAGGACTCTCAGTTGACGTCGCTCATGTGTGCTGCCAGTTCTCTGCGTCGTCTATGGCTGCCATCCGAGCTGGCACTTGGGCTTCTTGGTCTGCGTGTCCCCCGGCCCCTGGGACTTGACGAACTTTCTGGTGTCCATCCATGGAACATCGCTGCGTTCCCCAAGCCATGGTGCCTGTCAAAGCGCCACCAGCCGTCCTCTGTGTCCGGAAGGCCGTGTTGCTCTGTGGGGATCTGACTGGATATCCCCCTCAACAGCTGCATTGCTGCTTCCTGTACTTGTGGTAGTCGAGCTGTCGGCCATGAGTTTATCCCCCGCGCCCATTCGCGTAGTTGGAGGACAGCATGTTCCCAGGCTTCCAGTTCAGCAGGCCTCTCCACCAGGTTCGACTCTTGACTCCCCGCTTCCATGGCCACGACGTTGGCGGGGTGAGCGAGTGGTTTCCCCTGCAGGAGCGAATCTATCGCCTCCGTTACAGCGATCAGTTTCGCCCAGTCCTCTGTGGTAGTTTCCCCGTCGAGGATTCGGTTGAGCGTCTTTCGCAGGGGTTCCAGAATCGGTGGCAGCTGAATACGGACTGCTATGTCCCCCAGAGGCAGCACGGCAAACCATCGCATCAGGGCATCTACATGTGGCTCTAGATGACCATAGCTCAAGCATGTTCCCCCGAGAGACATCTGCTGGCGTGCTATGTTCAGTAGGCTGCGTACGGCTTTGGCTGCTTCTGTGCGTGGCGAGCCGGGAGCTGTGGATGTTGAGGCACGTGGGGCTCCGGTTTGTGGATTATTATTTTGCTGTGGGTGTGGCATCTGTCCCCCTGTTGGTTGTTGGGGGTCCTGTTGGTAGTCTTGGGTCGCCGCGAGTTCTTCTGCTGTCGGTGTGTCAACCAGCAGATGCATAAGCGCCATATCAGCGTTCTGCCTGATTGCATCCGCTGCCGGTCCCCCTTGTGTCTGTATGATCCGACGGATCTCCTCTAAGTGCCTTTCGACGCGCTGCCAGGAGTGCTCTCGCTCTTGTGCCAGGGCTTCTGCGTGTTGGTTGTCAGCTTGTTGTGTTTGTCGTTGTGTTTGGGGGGGGGCGCTGGTTCTTGGGTTCTGTTCGCCAGTCGGAGTATTGTTCTCCATGCTGAGGTCACCTTGTGTGGTGGGTTGTGGCTGTGTTTCTGGTGGTGTTGCTGGTGGTAGTGAGTTCGCGGCTGCGTCGGTGTGCTTCACGTCGCTGTCTGTGGTGGGCATCGAGGCTGAAAAAATGCTCTTTTGCATTAGGCTGTTGTGGTCATGCTCGTATGTTTTGTCGGTGTCATCTTTGCTGTCATGCTGGTCACGACTTGTCTTGGGGCCAATGCGTCGGCCGTCGTGGAACTGTGCTGCTAGTGGGGTGTATGGTGGCCTGTCTGCTTCAGGTGTGAGCGGTGGGGTTGGTTGTGTCGGCTGCGTTGGGGGGATACGGCCCGGTTGGTTGCGGCGCAGATCTCGTCTGTCGACGAACGCCGGCTTCTGCACGTCTGTTGTTGCTTTGCTTGTGAGGTCGTTGCTTTCGGAGGGGGTCGATGGTGTGTCTTGTTGAGGCGGCGAGTGTTTGCGTGCCGGTGGGTAGTAGGATCGAGGTGCCTCGTGGGAGGAACTTGCTCCGGTGTCTTCTGGTCGCTCATCCTCTGTGTCTGGTTCGGGTATGGTCTGCATGGGCGGCGCCGGTGGCTGTTTGGGTACGGCCTTCCCCCGTCCAGCTGCTGCTTGTGTGGTTGCAGTGGTGTGGCGCAGTCGACGGATGTCTGTAGGCGGCTCCGCTGCCAGGGCTTCGACCCTGATGACCCATTCGTTGTCGACCTCCTCGAACAGCAGACGATCTCCGGTTGTGAGGAGCATGGTCCCCGGCATGTGGTTGCCCGGTGGAGGTGCTTCTGTGATTTCCAGCACCCAATGTGTCTCGCTGAGGGGGGTGAAGGTGGCTACAATGCCAGCTGTCAATGGCGGTGCGCTGGTCGCCATGCCTTCTTGTCCTTCGCGGACCACTCTCGGGAGTCCACTTGCTAGGGTTTGGATGGAGGGCTGTTCCCCATCGTTGTTGAGGATCGAAACGATCCAACTCTCCCCTGGCCCTTGCACTATGCTGGCGTGTGTGTGCCCTTGGAGTGGTAGGTCGGGTGGAATAATGCCAAGGTAGAGCGGGGGTTGGGCATCTGCCCACTCCTGCTGCAGTTGGGCCTCCCACGGTGGTATGGGGTTGTTCGATCCCGTGGCTAGGGGCTCTGTCTGTGGTGGTGTTTGTGTGGTGTCCGCTGAAGGCGGTGGTGGTTGTTGTGGTAGCGGGTCTGCCGCTTGTTTACGAGTGTTGTCTTGCTGGGTGGAGGGAGTGCGGTGTACGTCGGCCGTCCAGAGTTGCCATGCTTCCGTGATTGGTGGCTGTTGGTCGTGTGGTTGGTGCGGGTCCGTCGCGGTGTGCTCCACCGGGTCTGGTTGTGCGCTTTCGGGGTTCGGGTCTGGTCTAGGGGCGCCGTAGGTACCCCAGGGGAGCGTGTGGCGGTTAAGCAAGTCTGCCCAGTTGGTGTCATCGTTGTGTTGGCTGGTGCCGCTCCGGCGGGGCTGTGTGTTGCTCTGGGGTGGCCTGCCTGGGGGGGCGTTCCCCTGCTGCGTGTTGGCGGCCGTGGTGTTGTTGCTGCTGCTGTTGCCGTTGTTCTCTGTAGACAATGCCCCATCCCGGTCCGTGTTGGTCCTGTGGCGGCGGGCGTGGATGCGGGTCATCTCTGTTCGTCTGCTTCCATACGTATTTGGCGGCTTTGTTTTGGACCCTCTGGCTTCCGTGTCCAGCGCTCTGGTGTGGCATGCCCGGGTCATCTGCTTGGCCGTCGTCCCCCTCGTCGGCTTGGGCTGTGTCATCCTCTGGGTCGTCGACCGCCACTGCTTCGGCTGCCGTCCTGCTTTGTGTGTGTTGCGCTGCCCAGGTGTGCTGGGGCGTCTTGGGGTGGCGTGTGGGTTGGTTGTGGTGGAGTGTGCTGTGCGCCGAGGCCACAGTTGTGTTGCACCTCTTCTGCTCCGGCGGTTGCTTCCTGTGGAGCTGTGATGTCTTGTGTTGCGTCGGTGGTAGGGTGGGCCGGCTGTGGCTGTGTTGTGTGGTCGTCCTCTGCTTGGTGGTCCGTTTGTTGCGACGGGCTCCCAGTGTTCTGTGGGCTTCGGGGCGTCGT